AAAAAAGGACAACATTTATTCAACTCATTCAGATTTAGCGCGACGAAATCGGACTACAACCTACACCCTAAGTTGTCGATTAGTTTGTTTCTGATGACAGGTCATGTGACTCAGACGTCATCAAACTTCATATCTCATACACATGCGCAAGCTAATTGAACGCAGGTCACAAGTCCCGCGGGCTCTGGTCTGACAATGSAACTTGGCGGTGATTTCAAATTCCATCTATTGTGTTTCAGACAAACATTGTTTATGAAATACGAAGAAAGGACGTTCCGGGAGTAGTACATTTAATTATTCATTAACAGACGAAAAGGAACCGAATTTACCCGTGAAAGGTGAGATTTTGAAGTTGATTCYATGTGAGTCGAGTGCAACTTTGTTTTGGTTTTAGATACTTGAAATTCTGTAAGTTTATTAAGCAGCAGAGTACAAATACTAAAAGGTAGTAATAGTGATAAATAAGTATAAAATTTGTAAATTGAAAAATAGTGGTGTAGCCCACCTTCATAATCTGTGAAACCTGAAGGCGAGATACAAAATAGTACTAAATTATGCTATTCCTTTGTTTTCTATTGTCTCATCAACACCTACTTCCTGCCCATTTCACCAAAGGGGCATGCAGGACTATAGAGCCAAAACCCTGTGAAATAGGCAATAATACACCTCAGTACACTCTGTAATATTGCATTGTTTTCTTTTGTGTCTCAACAGTTAGATTTTGTTTCATGGCCTTAATGATCCGCATGATTTTTTTACTTCACTCTATTTAATCTTTCATAGATTATGCTATTATGTTTTTGTTGCCTTATTAACACTATTTACTAGTAATTGGTATTGTGTGTTTCATGGATTTAGTGCATCCAGTCTAGCTTAATGTAATAATTATTTAGCAACATACATGTGAAATGGTTAGCTATTCATAATAGTACTAAATGTTGATTAGACCAAGCAAATAAGAACTGGAATCGGTATCATAATTAAAACCTGCTTCAGCTCCCTAAGTACAGCACCCCTATTGTTAGGTTAGGTTATGATTTAATATTTGGAAGACGATGTTTCTATTGTCTGTCCATCACCAACCTCACCCTATCATGATATATGTTTCAATCGGTGCAGACAGTCCCAAAGCATTAAGCACTTTTAGTGCCTTTTTGCTACCTGTCTTTTTCATGGGTAATTAAGTTTCCTTCACAGTTCCCTGTGRCATCTTAAAAGGTAGCTGTGCATCAAAGTGAGACAACACGTGAGTTTGCAGTGATAAACCTTCTTACATGTCTAAAACAATCATTCACGGGRATCAATCTATSATTGCACACTCAATGGTCATCTTGCTTTGATGCAAACATTCAAGATATGGTGGAGGGAACTGTGAAGGAGATCATTGTTTGTACTTTAATCAAATTATGGATGCCAAACAAGGGAAATTATAGAAATAGGAAAGATAGTAAAGCATATGCCATGCAATTAGTGCTAAATTATTCAATGCTCATTTTGAATTTTATTTGAAACTACATTTAGTATTAACATATCACTCTAAAATATTTATAGTATTCTCCTTTATGTTACTTTTCTTTGTTTCTTGGGTGTGCTTCATATTGTTAACCTTGATAATCTGTTATYTAAAAATGGACAAATTCTTTTTGATAACAATTACTGTATATTATATTAAAAATAATAACAATGATAATAATGATAATGGGAATAATGATAATAGCGGTAATAATGACAACGATAGCCACGAGTGGTTAGTTTATAATGTGTATACTATCTGTGGCTATATAATTTGAATTCAACTCCACTCACAAGCGCAGTAGGGACGAGAACACCTCCTCTCTAGACGTCGTGGTCCACGACATTTTTTTCCTCCGCAACGTGGTTTTGGATTGGTACAGTAGCGTCTGCGTACTTGGTAACAGTTACGTCCGCAATCACCCCATTTGGTCCATGCGCTGAATCCACCATTCACTGCAATAAGGTGATTATATCTAAGAACACTCTCTTATCTTCACATAAAATCCGACAAACATGCACCTATTGGTTAGTTCTATTGCAAGCTTTTTGTTATCCATAAAATAGGATTGAATGACAAGTTCTATTTTGTACATTTAAAGCCGTCTAACACGATACATAGTAGCCATATAATTACCTGGACAGCAGTTAGTGTTGCAAGGTCTTGTCTGGACCCTGTAATTTGGATAGTAAGGTGTACGGCGACCGTAAGGATATTCATAGGTACATTTCCTTTGTTGTGTTCCTCCTCCACATGTTTTGGAGCACTTGGACCATGATCCCCATTTACCTATATTTATAATTGTATAAGATAGAAAACACTACTAGACTATGGCAAGAGATAGTAAAAAGTGCTTAATAACTTGGTTAAGTTGACTGCATAGACTGCAGATTTTTTTTCTGCGGAGCGAAAGCAAATTATGGATAGATGGATTACGATATGATACTGGTTTCTGATGACAAATGGAACTTAATACGAAGAGGAAGATATAGTAACCATAGAAAGTGATAGCAAACTATGGCAAATGATGCTTCGTGATGCCAAAGGGAACTTACATATGGAATAGAAATAAAGGAAAGTTATAGTGCTTAGGAGAAGGTTATTCCGGGAGAAAGATCCTTGTAAATAAATTAATTTCTGACCTCGCTGGGATTCTTTACACACGAAATGGTTAGTTAGCGTCACCACAGGAAATGATAGCGAACTATGGCAAATGATGCAACATGGTGTTCGTCAATGCAGATAGTAGATAACAGATGATGATAGTACTTACAGGGCGGACGGTAGTATCCTGACGGGTCGTTTTCAGGAAGTTCGCCGGCTTGAATCAAACCAAAGACGACGGCAAGAACCACCATGAGTATCTTCTCCGATGCCATTTTGCTTCTTCASTCCGTGTAGAGAACGATTGTACTCGATGCTTCTTGGGTTTATATAGYCATTGGAACTGGGCTGGTTTCCCTGGGAATTTGGATTCTTAAAGCTAACAATTCATATTCTATTTGAAGTTGSCTTTTAGTTATTTTGAGTTGAAATATTAAATCATTTTGAAGGTACACTTCTCAAAACAAGCTAAAACAGACAATTCTCTATTCTAATTCGAGTAACTGATGTTATTTTTATCAATAACAAAATATTATTAATGGCTTTCACATCTTGAAAGTGTCTCGACAACATAGCTTATTTTAGTTCATAAGATTAATTTCTTGCTATTTTTGTTTGTTGGTTGTGAAACGTCCCACTCAGGACGTCGAAACGTCAGGTAACTATATGACAGTCCTCCTCAAGACTTTTCACACCCGGACAATCATACCACACCCTACATTCTAAAGATATACTCATTCATGGAGTAAATTTAGTTATTAGTTTGTTATGGTTACAGTTGTCTTTTCATATTGTATGTCAMCTTTCTTGGAGTTTGKTGTGTTGGTTTTAATATTTTGAATCGTMTGCTTTCATGGAAACGCGACTCTAGAACCAGAGTTGTCCTCTGTGCAAAGTGAATTTCCAAACGAATCCAATACACGATTTTCCATGCTCGGGAAGCATTGGACAAAGAACAAAGATCTTTAAGAAAAAAGMTTTTTCATTTTACGGATTTAGAAAAGCTTAGAATTTTAGGACGTTGAACTTGTGAAACAAAAATAGCTATCGAGAGATAGCACAAAAAGACAGAAATATGCATTATACTGCGAGGCCATCTTGTATTACAAAATGGTCGAATGGTGCCGCTTTCATGACGCAAAATGTTGTCCTTGCACTTTGTTTGCTCGGTAAATATTCCTATAATCCATATACATGTTTCATTGTGACGTTTCTGTAATGAAAACAGATATGCGAGGAAAAGATTCTTGGCCTTTGTTGTAATGTGCAATTTTCTCGTTGTTTGGAACACGACAGTTCAAGGAGAAAGAATGGTAAAGACTAAAGACAAAAGCACTCATGAAGTAAAACCCTTTAATTTTAGTACTTATATTACCAGCATACATGAATGTATTATCAATAGCAGTATTATCTATAGTTCACAAACAAGGTTATCATTATATTTTTAGCTCAATCACCAGTTTAAACCAGTTTAACAAGTTTTATTTCTTGACCATTATCCCATTTTCATTCATTTTCTGTGATCTGAAAGATCAAAAACATTGAATGAATCAAATGTTTGGACCGGTGAGACCTCCCACCAAAGGAATTMRAGGCTTTCAGATAATGCTTACCCKACATGCTTACTCCTCATTTTCATTTTCATCGTATGCCGCGGGGGGCCACCACCCGTAGGGGTTGTATGCTGGCTGAGTGGTAGGAGCGGCAGTTGTAGGTTTGGTGGTCGGTTGACTTCCATATCCACTGTTCATTGGGGCGACCACTAAAGTGTTTGAATATAAAATGATAATGGCTGGTATTAACTAGTTTACATGTAGCGGCGTGCTTTATTCTCGCTGCATGTATCCGTAGTCATCTGAAGAAACATTCTCTCAGATATGAGTTGTGTCATGCGCTGTAATGGTGCGGTAATCTTCCCGAGATGACTAAACTGAGGACAGCAGTGAGGATGCAGAAATTGCTCGGCAATTGTTGCATTCATTAACTTTTCATTCAGTTATCTCTCCATTTCTTTGTTCATTTTATCATCCGTTTACTTTTTCAGTCATTCATTTTTCAATTAATCATTCAGAATATTTTGTCCATTCAATTGAGAACCATCAATTGCATTATCCATCATCCATCTAATCCTATATCATTCTTATATAACTTACAGTCATCCAATACTCCATTTCGAGCGAACAACTGCTGCTTTATTTGACTGCAGATTCTCTTGCGCAAAGATCTTACCAAACACAAAAGAAAGAACGAGAAAATGTCGTTATTACAATAGCCTTGAAATTTGCATTTTCTCTGAGTTGAGACCAACCCTGTATTCCKATGAGAACTAAGATTTTTAAATAAAAGCCTTCTTGGAATACAGGGTTAGCCTCAACTCGGGGAAAATGTAAATTGTTAGCGCAATTGTACTTATAACATTTTCTCGTGCTTTATTTTATCTTTGTAAGGTCTTTGCATAAAAGAATTTGCTGTCAAATAAAACAGCGGTTATTCGCTTTGAATTCGAAAATGTATGTTAATTGAACAGAAGTTGTTTAAATGACTGCCCCCAATGCCATTCTCCGTTTGTTTACAGTACATCTAAAAGAATAGTTTCTATATTACCGTATGCATTGCTGCACAGTACAACGCTACAAGATGTTTTTTCAGTCGCTCCTACTTTGCTGTAAGCTCCCGGTTGACAATCGGCTCCGCCACAGGATGGCTTGGGGTAATTGCATTCACGAGTTCTTGTCCTTTCTCCGCCTCCTTCTTTTAGGTCGTTAACACATGTTTTGCTGCATGCTGACCATTTCGACCAGCTCCCCCATTGACCGTCGACTAGAAAGATCATATTTAATGCGTTACACAAAATTTAAACACTTAAAACCTATTAATTTAGTTGCCATTGGACTGAAAATGACTCTCTAGTGGTTGTTTGTTGGTAAAAGCATTGAGGAGAACGGGTGATGCGTTTTTGCCCATAAGTGAAAAAAAGTTGTTTTGCTTCAAAATGGCATGGCGCTGGCGAACTATATACCGCCGATCAGTCTTCAGGATATGCTATAGAGGGGTTAGAAAATCCTACCTTTGCAGCACGCATTTACTACACATGTCTTCACTTCATAACTGGAGCCAAGGCATGGCAGACCGCCATATTTGGGGGCTGGGTTGTCGCATTTTCGTGACCTCACCGTTGTTCCATTCCCACAGCTTATGGAACACTCCGACCATTTCGACCATTCACTGAATCCGCCATTGACTACAGATATAGAGTATGTATCATCAATATATGCTAATCACAGACCAGTGAGAATGCGTTTGAGCCTCCTTAACTTTTAATGTTGTAGCATAACGAGGTCATTTGATACATTTAATCGTTAAAAATCGATTTTTATCGCATTCAGCATTATTGCATCTTTTTTTCTCATAATTAAGTATCGTTACTCTGAATGGGCCAATCACTAACACCTTGGTAAAGATCATTACTGGTCAAAAACCATGGCCTACCTGGCCATCCTGGCCATACCCATAACCCCTACCTTACCCTGGTCCCAGGAAGTGTAACCTCTATTGTACGTGAGTGAACTTACCTCTGCAGTATTCTTGCAAGTAGCATGATTTTTCTTGTCTATCTTTTCCTTCGCAGTGTTTTCCTTCCCCAGCTTGTGGTGGATCGTCACATTTTCTCGTTCTGTATTTAGTGGATGTACCGCATGTCTTTCCACATGGACTAAAGTTAGACCACGGGCCCCACTTCCCATCAACTGTAGATATAAAMAAATGATCACTCCACCTCATGACGTCATGTTTGTTTTTTCGAAGAGCATTATGGTATTGATAAAAACATCGCACGGAACGAGTGGACATATACGGAAGAAGATGGCGGACGTCTTAAAAAAYCTATATATTCTAATTGAGGCTTGCAGTCATTAATTGAATAATGTTAGATGAAGTAAGGATATAGGGTCCTTGAATGTAAACAGAGAGCAGTTCCTTCAGAGAAAGAAACCAAAGATTTTTGCCCTCTTGGAAATTGGAACCTATTTTTGGTATACCACTTTTTAACTTTAAAATTTTCATTACTCGTTACTAGTTGACAATGATAGCAATGATTTGGCGAAGCAATATGCAATGCTTTGCGCTAACCACGTAACAAAATGTACCATATATCCCATAATGCATCACGACGAACAAATCAGTAAATTACATTGCGAAGATTATAAAGATCTACACGATAAATAGCAAACACTGTCCCACCCCTATACTCACCGTCGTTATCCTTGATGCAGACTGTTGACGTTTGTGGTTCGAGCTGAACCCTGATATCTGTAGTTGTAAGTTTGAGTTTGAATGTTTCCTTCCCTTCTTGTATATTGTCGTTTTTAATTTCGATTTTGACTTCTGCTGTCTTTTGTCCGGCTTTGAATACTACTGTTTGGTCTACTTGTTTGTAATCGTCGGGTTGCTTMGCAGAATCATCAAAACTTGTCACACTTTAAAACAATTTATGATATATGATTTTATTGGAATACTTTGTACGATAATTATTCAGAAGTTTTCGTCTATATTCATAGGCTTTCATCAACAAAGAAAGATTAATTTGCCAATCCGYACACATTAGAAAGTGCACTGTGGTTAACGACTTAAGACTCTGCGGCCGGCCCTTTATGTTGGATTCCTCAGCATATCTCAAGGCAAAGCGGCCGCAGTTATAAATAAAATTTCGAGTGTTGTCAAGCATTTTTAATTTGTGAGGCTGTTTTCGTAAATTTCCGACACGTGTCAGTTGCGAAAAATATCCTCGTCGTAATAGGTTTTACGCCACGTGCCGTATATGCAATGCATTGTAGGATATGTTTTCGTCAAAAAATAGAGGATTTCTCTACAAATAAATCAAACAATGCACTTCAAATAAAGAAGGTGGGGTTAAAGCTTCAGAAGTATATTTGTCTAGTGTGACATCATTGTGACAAAYTCTGTTTGAAAGATAACTTACGTCACGGAATGACTGATTTTCAATGCCAAGTCGTTGCATGTTCTGACAAGAACAACCGTGACTACACCCGCGGTCTCCATAAAGTAGTATTTCACGTGTTTGAAACCAATCTTAGCTGAAAGAAATTCAGAAACCAAGACGGTCAGAGGTGATGTCCATCAGGCGGAGGTTGGGGAGGAATACYTTAGTGTTGGACCCAGGCCCGTCTGGAAATAAGGCTAGCTTAAGGGCAACGTGATTGCTTGTTCTTTTAAAAAAAWCAAACCAACGGATTTTCGTCTTGAAGTCCAGTGGCTTTATACCCACTAGACGAAAACGTCTCAAAGCTGTATTTTCCAACTATGGTATCTTACCATCATGATCTAAAATCTCAACGACAGATGAATCGGGGTTGATGACGGTGACATCTTTATCAGGACTGGTGAGCTTGACGTCAAAGGTTTCGGTGTCTTCTGGGATGTTATCGTCCATAAGGAATACTTTGAAACGTTTTACTGGTTCTTGGGGCTTGAATTCAATTTGGAACCCTGTACGTGGTTTGTAGTCTTTGCCGGCCAATGCGGTGTTGTCTTTTGTATTGATACTGAAAAARAACAGATCGTGACATTTGGTCTTAAAGGATTATCATAAACCGGCAGCCCTTGCGGGCTTTTGAAAATTAAACTGCATCTGAACGTCAACAAAACCTTACTCTTTATTTTCTCTTTATGTTCTACGAATGTAGATATTGTAAGATGGGACGCCTCTCGTTTGGTATGAAAAATCTAAATCAGGGCCCCTTTTGAATGYCGCGGTTGGTGATAGCCCCTCCATTCTGAGTTAACTAAAGTAAATGTTTCGTCACTTACACAGCATTAGTTGTACCCTTCAGATTTCCAAATCTCTTTACAGTTAGTTTAACAAACTTCTTACTCTCCAGAACTGTGATCTTTCCGGGATGAAGACTAAGTTTAACTTAAGGAAGAGAAAATATHTAACTATATTATTCTTTTATCTTAGAAATGTACTTTCTGCGCATTACAATATAATTAGAATATTTTTGATACACTACTTGTTGATATTTTGGTATTTTTTATAACGTAGTGTGTCATACATGTGTGGTACTCATTTTCAATCGGCGCAACTTTCGGTCTTTTGTTTGTTTCYTGCGGTAGAAATGATAGTATTGTTTGATAGAGTGAACTCATTCGACTCTATAAGTCTTTTGTCGAAGGACACTTCCCCAGTCTCCCTCGACCTCTCAAAGCGGCTGAGTTTCGAGAGGATYTACAACATTTGCGCTTATTTGCGACTCGTTCTACCACACAAATCAGGTTTGTATCCAAAAATTTTGAAAGAGGTGGGAAGCTGAAGGGAGCACATCTACAAAGTGCTCGTCTGTCTGTCTTTCTTAAAAGGGGGCACCGGCACCCCTGGCAACGCCCTTGGATCCGCACCTTCAAACAGTGATTTTTTTTTCTCGTATGGTACTCACCATCATCTTCAACGATGGTAATTTCAGCCTTCTTGGGTGAGATATTGCACATGTTCTTGTCATTGCTTGTGAGCTTAACGCAGAACGACTCGTCCGGTTCACACTTTTTATCATTAATAATCTTGATGTCAAACGTCTTTTCTTTTTCTTTCTCAGCGAATTCAACCTTGAAGTTGGTTAAAGGTTCAAAGTCTTCAGAAGCCGTTGCAGACCCAGTTTCGCAGGTATTTATACTGTTAAGGTGGAATTAATATATTGTTTAATGAATTTTTCTGTCGCGAATTATTAAATTATTGATGCTGTAAGAGAGAATATTATGTCTTTTTCCGACTAGTAGTGAACGTGTAGTAAAAGATCTATTTAATACGATATGGACGTGTATTTCCAATATTCATTGTCTTAAATTAAAATCGACTCGAATTCAAAATGATGATGATCACCATAATAATGATGCAGCTATGACAAGACTTACATGGCAGTGGATTTGCCTCTGATGTGACCCTTCCTAAATACTGTCAACTTGACACTTCCGTCACTTTCGCGCACAGATTTTGCTGTCGGGTCTAGGCCAAGTACAACTGCAAAGAAATGTTTGTTTACATTGACAAAAKGTTTTTAATGCAAACCAATAACTTTACATGGAATTCTTACCATCGTCYTCYAGGATTTTGARGATGGCTGCGTRAGGGCTCACAGACACTACTCCAGAGTCGTCGCTCGTCAGAATTACTTCAAATTCTTCATCATTTTCAGGTAAACAGTCGTTTTTGATTTGTATCTCCACCATCTTGTTTGACTCGTCAGGATTAAAGGTAAGCTCTTTTACTGGAATGCTTTCGAAATCATCCGGGGATGTAGCCGATTTGGGCTTTGTTGAAATGCTATAGAATAAGGCAAAGGCTACACATAAGCTGGAAGAGCACAATTCGAGAGGGAAACAGCAACAACAACAAAACACATTTCCCATAGAGGATCTTKCTTGAGGTTGCCCTCTWAACAGAACACTKAATTCCGMACAACCTCCTGCACATACTTTTCATGATCATGAGATGAAGAATTTCGAATGGAAATGGAATTGAGAAAATGAATGTATGGGACTGAAAACAAACAAAATCAGCTTGTCCGGCAAGCTTTCCTTCCYCTAATCATTACTAATCATGTTTAACTTGAACAATCTGTTTAGCATCTTTAGATACTTACTTAACACGGTTGGTACCCTCAGAATTTCCAATTCTGAACACGTTCACTTTCACTTTTTCTACATTTTCAGGAACGGTTTGATATGCTGGTTTCAGGCCAACCTTAGCTGAAACAAACAAACTTTATTAGCAAAGGCTTTAAGGTGTATCAACATTTACAAAATACCAAATCGTTTATTTGATGTTTGACTTATAACTTCGCTTCTTTCAAGTGCTTTATTTCATCAATAAACGCMCGGCAATGCTTTTYTGATATATATGCGTYCATTTATCAGTGAAATAATTCACGCTCTTATACCAATCAGAGCGTTAATTCTATTGCATCCATATTATAAGCGGNCCCTCACCTGGACAATGGTGTGTGTTGCAATCTTGCGAAGAAGTGTTGGTGCCCACACAATAAGCTCCTTCTCCTTGTGGTGCTGGGTTGTTGCAGCTGCGAGATCTGGATTGACTTCCTGTGCCACAGGACTTTGAGCAATCCCCGTATTGTCCCCATTCGCCCCACTGGCCGTCGACTGGAAATAAGGAAAAGTAACAAGTATTTTGAATAAAGAAATGTTCAATGTTTTTGAATATTTAACGATATGAGTGATCTAGAAAAGGTCAAAAATCACATGGAATTACGCATGATAAGCCAAGTCAGAAATTTTGCAAATGACTTTAGATACTCTGTGATGATAGAAGGTTTGTTACCGTCATCACTTTTGATGGTGACCAGTGCCTCGTCTGGTACAACTTTAGTGCAAGGAGACTCTTCACAGGCCAAGGACAATTTGAAAGCTTCGTCTTTTTCCTCAATATTGTCGTCTTCAATTGGAATTTCGATTTCTTTTGTGTCATCTCCGGCATTGAAGACAACTGGAACTTTTGTGATTCCTTTGTAGTCATCGGGTGATTTTGCCGTCACATCTGCACTTGAGACACTGTCAATTTACATGAAATAATATTAATGTCTTTGTTTCATTCTTTCAAATACATAAAAAATGTGACATTTACATAAAAATCAAAAGGAAATAAGTTTGGTGATCAATAACTACTTTGCAATCWTTACATTGAAGCTTTTTTCTTCATTGCGGAAGTGTGCAAGTGTGTATTGAGTTCTTGCGATTTGCATTTCACACTTTTGATAATTATAAGAGAGTTTATGCAAAAGTCTTTATCTTCCTTTGCGACCAAAATTGAAGGTAGACTTTACAATTAATATTAATTATGATCAGGAATCATCATACTTCCTCATCTATATGTTCTGAAAAATACACATTACGCGCTTTGTTGTTTTAACATTTGAAGAAGGTGGATATTACTGACCTGCAAGTGTTCTTTCCATTCTTATTTCCAAATCTGTGCACAGTAACCTTGACCTTTTTGTCATTTTCAGACACTGTATAACTGTCTGGCTTAAAACCAATCTTAGCTAAAAATAATTAGATAAATATATCTAAAAAATGACGGACAGTAGTATGATCCGGCAAACTGGAACAGGGAATGTACCGTTTCGCCATTTTGTATAGTAAAGATAGGAGATATCAGTAGTGCTCGCACTAAACCCCCCCTCCCTCCCCGCCCACGCCATTTACCCAGTACGATTACTTGTGTCCAAAATACCATATATRATGTCAGGAAATGTTCCCCGAAAACGCTGGAACACCACTGTACATCTTAACTTAATAATAACTTTACCTGATTGATCTTTAATGTTCACTGTGCATTTCGACTCTGTGATTTCAAGCTTCTTGGGGTCAGCGGTAATGACGGCACTGAAGGATTCTGGTCCTTCAATATCAGTATCACCGTTTATTTTAAAAGTCACTGATTTTACTGTCTCGTTTTTATCGAATGTTATAACGAGATCTTTGATTTGATTGTAATCAGCAGGCTGTGTTGCAGAACCGTCATTAGTATTCACACTGAAAATTGAACATCAAAAGTGTTCTCGTGAGCTTTTTAATTCTTCAACTTCATAAAAATGCAGGAATACGCTATTTTTTTCACTAACGTGATTGATGCTGCACAGTTGATGACGCGTGTTCTTGTGATTTTGACAGACACCGTACCAGCACACTCGTCAATGTCCACAGAGGAATCATCCCAGCCTATTAAACCTACCAGACAATACGACTTGTTAACCCACAATTGGAATGTAATACATAAAGACCGCCCCGTAGGCGCTTGGCGAAATAAGCAAAAATCAATATTATATATTACTAATATTATCCGATGCATAGATCTCTTTACCTTCACATGGGACATTTTCGTTACACTTCTTGAMCTCATGCGGCGATCCCTTGCATGTTTGTCCAAATGCCTCTCCTTGGCACTTCCTTGACCTCGAAGTTAAGCCGTATTTACAAGACTTAGAGCAAGGGGTCCAACTAGACCACTCGCTCCAGTGTGGCGGTTTGTCGGCTGTCAAAATATAGTGCTTTATTATACAAACTTCAATGAAATTCCAGGAAATCTCTTATTTAGACTCAGCAAATTCGAACTAATGTACAAAGAAAACACGAATAAGAATACGAGAAATACTTACGAACACAGCAAGACTTTTGACAAACTGTAGCCCACACCGGCAAATAAAAGCCCTTAGCTTCGAAACACTTGCCCTTAGATTTTATTTCAGCACAATTCTCATTCGGATCGTCAACATAGTTAAATGCTGAAAGACAGTCGTTAAAGATTTTAGTTGAAATGTACTTGGAAAGGACTATTATTCTTAAATGAGCGGATCATTCCTTTGGAAAGGTCCATTGTTTTGGGAAAGGACCACTTTTCGGAAAGGACCATTGTTTCGGGAAAGTAGCATTATTTTGAAAAGAAGCATTGTTTTGGAAAGGACTATTGTTTTTGAAAGGACCATTGTTTTGGATAGAAGCATTGTTTTGGAAAGAAGCATTGTTTTGGAAAGGACTATTGTTTTTAAAAGGACCATTGTTTTGGAAAAACCATTGTTTTGGGAAAGCGCCATTGTTCTTGAAAGGACTATTGTTTTTGAAAGGACCATTGTTTTGGAAAGGACTATTGTTTTTGAAAGGACTATTGTTTTGGAAAGAACCATTGTTTTGGAAAGGACTATTGTTTTTGAAAGGACTATTGTTTTGTTTAAAGGACCATTGTTTTGGATAGAACCATTTTTTTGGAAAGAAGCATTGCTTTGGGAAACCGCCATTGTTTTAAGAAAAGATCAATTCTTTTGAAAGGAGCGTTCTTTAACACACTACTTACCGCAGTTTGGGTTGCAGGTCATGGCACAATATGCAATGTTGGCACTGCATTGACCAGATCTCTTGATATCGTCACACTTCTTACAGTCGTAATAGTCCTTACAATGGGCAAAGTATCCTATCCAACAAACACAATGAAGTCAATGTCTTTTTTCTTCTATCTTTTATTCTATGTTGGAGGTTTATTAGAAATAGGTACTCACGGGCATCAATATAACGACTCACGACTTTTTCCTTTTTTTCAGAAACGGATAATAAGAGCCAGGGTAGTCACTAACTGCAATAGACCCCTTGCAGTTCATGGGAATGCAGCTCCAACTGGAGGACAAAACAATGGATTCTAGTTCCCAAGAGGTTAAAAATCTTTTGTTTTGTCCTCCAGATGAAGCTGCTTTGACGTCACATGCAAGGGGTCTATATGACCATTCCAAGGACAGCCCAAATGAGGAAAGAGATTTGGGAAAAAATTGGGAGATTGAATCATGAAACATTTTTTTAAGCAGCCAACGTGCTGAAGCATTGAACATCAAACAAGGCAAAGGTTGAATGATAACTTCTGTTAAAATACATTCAACTCCCATTGTACTGAATGCAAGGACGGCAGTGTTCAAGAAAAGATTCCGTATACTTATGAAAGTGATTACATCATATATTAGAAGATATGAGATGGCAGTACCCCCCAC